CCCCCCCCAAAACCCCACCCCCCAAAACCCCAAACCCCCAAACCCCCACCCAGAAGAGCAGCGCAAAAAAACTTGCATTTTCTGCGCAACGAAAAAGGGAAAAAACAGCAAAACACAGAGGAAAAAGTAGGAAAAATATAATACGGTGCGCGGTAACAAAGGGTCCGAGGGAACAACAACAACAACAACAACAACCAACAACAACAACAACAACCAACAACAACAACAACAACATCAGCAGCAGCAACAACAACAGCATCAACAACAACAACGACAACAGAAGGAACACAAACAATACCAACACCAACAACACGACCAACAACACTAACACCACCAACAAACCCAACCACACCAACAACACTAACAACACCAGAAACACTACCACCACCAACAACACCAACAACACCAATACCAACACCACCAACAACACCAACACCATCAGCAGCACCAACACCACCAACACCACAACCACCACCAACCCTAACCACATCGCCGAAGCCTTTCAGTGGCTTTTACCAGACTCCCCTTCATATTTTTGGAAAGAAAATGGCCGCGTCGCTTTTACCAGAATCCACTTTATGTTTTTTTCCCTGCCCTTTCCCCTTCATTTTTTCTTCGGTTCCTTTCTTGCTTACCTACCTTTCGTGTTCCCCCTCTCAAGTATATATATATATGTATGCATACACAGGGTATCTTGTCTTATATGCTTTTATCATGGCATTTGGGGGATCATCACAATCCCATCGCGAAGATCCCTATTCGCCACATCTACTTGAGGTTGTTGCGAGCATAGCCCTGCTGTTTTTGTTAGTTGACGACCATTCGTCAAGGTGGCTTGGCTGGTACAGAAAATGTCTTGCCTCAGTAAATCTCAGTTTGATCTGTCTTTTGAGCAGACTCCAAGGACTTTTGGGCAAGTCCTACATCTTCTGTCTTTGTGGTCCCTTCGTAACTTGGATCATCTTGGATCCCATGGCCGGACTTGGCTCAAGGACTTGGCTCAAAGTATACTTATATCATGTGTGGTCGGCTCATAAATGGTGTGTTTCCACCGTTTGGCCATATGTATGTATGTACATATATATATATATATATAGACATTCATTATTACATATGCACATAGAAATATAGAATCAAACACATACATTTATTGCATATTCCTATTATTGAACATGATTCTCTGTATTTGCTTGCGCCTTCGGGGCGACGGCCCGTCTCTTTAGGTCACATCCATAAGGGTGAAGACGAGGAAAAGCAGACGGAATGTGCATTCGACAGCCTCATTGGTGCTGCCTATCTTGCCCGCGGCAGCTTAGTGTCTCTCACGCAGTGATCCTGACTGCCTGTTTTTTTTTGCGGAAATGCTGCAACAAAAACAGCTTAAGTGAAGAAACAGGGTCAAAGTCGAATTCAATCGCTGCTTGTTTCCCTTTTTGGAAGCATAAGATCCTTTGATGGCATTTTTTTCTTTGTTTTGTTTTCAAACACCGTGCGATGGCGGCCTTTTTCGTAGCCTGTCAGGAAACAGGTTTGGCAACCCAAGAGTGCAGCGAGATCAAGAAACTCTCTCGGGAGCTGATCGAAGAGCTGCGAAAAATTCATTCAGACGAGCGGAAATTGAACCTTCCATTTCCCGAGGACCGCAGAAATCCGAAGAATCACACCATGGTAGCCAGAGAAGTTCCGATAGGCCGATCATGGTCGATAGTTTCTCTTATAAGTTTACCAATCTTAATGGAAAGGCCGTGTAACATGATGTAATATGTGTATGGCACTGGTTCTGCAATGCCTGATCACCATGGATCACCTGTTAGTTTGGGATTGTGTGTCCAAGACTTCAGGGTAAATGGATGTAAATGATCCACTTCATACATGGTTATATGAATGATTATGAATGGTTTCTCCGAACAGACCGGTGTTTCATCTTCGGGACATTGGTCGCTTGTGACCCTATTCACTGTTTCTACGTTTTGAAGTAAAAAAGATAGGGTCACAAGTGACCAAGTGTGCTTGGAGTCCCACACCTGTCACACAAAAATGGTGCGTCCCCTTTGTGGTCGCCTGTGACCCTATTCGTGCCCGAAGTATCATTTTTGAAGGAAGTCTCGCAGAAAAGCTTCGTTTTTGAGTTTCGCAGCTTCATTTTTGAAGGAAGTCTCGCAGAAAAGCTTCGTTTTAGAGCTTCGAAGCTTCATTTTTGAAGGAAGTTTCGCGGAAAAGCTTGGTTTTTGAGTTTGGAAGCTTCAGTTTTGAATGAAGTCTCGTAGAAAAGCTTCGTTTTAGAGCTTCGAAGCTTCATTTTTGAAGGAAGTCTCGCAGAAAAGTTTGGTTTTTGAGTTTCGAAGCTTCATGTTTGAAGGAAGTCTCGCAGAAAAGCTTCGTTTAAGGGCTTCGAAGCTACATGTTTTTTATTTATCTATCTATCTATCTATCTATTTATCTATCTATCTACCTACCGATCTATCTATCTTATCTTAACTTATCTTATCTTATCTTATCTTATCTTATCTTATCTTATCTATCTATCTATCTTTCTTTCTTATCTATTTTTTTCTCTCTCTCTCTCTATCTATATCTCTCTCTCTCTCTTTCTATCTCGTTATCTCTCTATCTCTCTATCTCATCTGGGCAGCTAAGAGCAGCTAGCTAGCTCCGCGCCCGCCGCTGTAGCGAGCTTACTTGTTCTATCTATCTATCTATCTATTTATCTATCTATCTATCTATCTATCTATGTATCTATCTATCTATCTATCTATCTTTCTTATCTATCTCTCTCTCTCTATCTATCTCTCTGGAGACAATGGTTTAGTGGAACGCAGGGGGGGGAAGTTTAAATAAAGAAGTAGAAAGGAGACAATGGTTTAGTGGAACGCAGGGGGGGGGGAGTTTAAATAAAGAAATAGAATGAGACAATGTATCGTGGAACGCAAGGGGCGGGAAGTTTAATTAAGAAGTATATTAGACAATGGTTTAGTGGAACCAAGGGGGGGGGTAAATTTAAAATAAAGAAGTAGAATGGAGACAATGGTTTATGAAGGCAGGGGGGTGGAAGTTTTAAATAAAGAAGTAGAAATGGAGACAATGGTTTAGTGGAAGCAGGGGGGGGAGTTTTAAATAAAGAGTATAATGGAGACAATGGTATATTGGAACGCAGGGGGGCAGCTTTAATAAAGAAGTTGAAATGGAAAGTATAAATAAAGCAGTATAATGGAGACAATGGCATAGTGGAACCGGGGGGAGACATGGTTTCGTGGAGGAGGTGGTGGAAGTTAAATTAAGAAGTATATGGAGAACAATGGTTGTGGAACGCGGGGGGGGGGGGAGGGAAATTTAAATAAAGAAGTAGAAATGGAGACAATGGTTTAGTGGAAGGCAGGGGGGGGGAGTTTAAAAAATCAAGAAGTAAATGGAGACATGGTTAGTGGCACGCAGGGGGAGAGGAAGTTTTTAAATAAAGGAAGTATAATGGTGACAATGGTTTAAGTGTAAGGCAGGGGGGGGGGAATGTTTAAATAAAGAAGTAAGTAATGGAGACAATGGTTTAGTGGACCTCCGTTTTTTTCTTTTTCCATCCCTCCGTGAAATGGAGACAGTGGGGGGAAGTTTAAATAAAGAAGTATAATGGAGACAATGGTATAGAATGGAGACAGGGGGGGGAAGTTTAAATAAAGAAGTATAATGGAGACAATGGTATAGTGGAACGCGGGGGAGGGAAGTTTAAATAAAGAAGTAGAATGGAAGTTTAAATAAAGAAAGTTTAAATAAAGAAGTAAAATGGAGACAATGGTTTAGTGGAAGGCAGGGGGAAGGAAGTTTAAAAACAAAAGTAGAAAGGAGACAATGGTTTAGTGGAACGCAGGGGGGGGAAGTTTAAATAAAGAAGTAGAATGGAGACAATGGTATAGTGGAACGCAGGGGGGAGGAAGTTTAAATAAAGAAGTAGAATGGAGACAATTGTATGGTGGAACGCAGGGGGGGATGAGAGTTATTAAAGGGATAGGGTCGCAGGTGACCGGATAGTAGGGTCGCAAGTGACCGGGGATAATAGGGTCAAAAGTGACCGGATGATAGGGTCACAAGTGACCATGGTCCCTCATCTTCGTCGCATTTTGTGGCATTTCGTATTGGACACACCGGACACACCCTGGTTGGTGGTTTGGAACATTTTTTATTTTTCCATTCAGTTGGGAATAATCATCCAAACTGACTTTCATCTTTTTCAGAGGGGTAGGTCAACCATCAACCAGCACCGGACGTTGCTGTTCTGCAGGACTTGCCTAACGAGCACGATCCGCAGAACGCCTCCGCTGAGGTCATTGTGATCTCAACGACATTGTGAAAGACGATAGGATGATCTCAAGTGAATCCAACGATAGGATCTTATAATATATATGGATCTTATATATGGATCTTATATATATATATTTATGTAATTAATTTGTTATATAATTAAATATTTTCATGTCTATATCGTTGCTTGACATTCTTTAGCAGCTAATAGCGTTCGATGGATTTTTCACAGCTTCGCGTTTGTCACCAAGAAGGATGTCATTCCAGGTGGACCGCGCTGTAGCCAGAGCCAAAGATGTGCTGAGCAGCCTGCATTTGAACCTCGCACGAAATTTCTTGCCGCAGAAATACGGTAGTTACTGTATAAGGATTATAAGGATGTCTGAACAAAAAAACTGGACTCTCGAAATTCTTGAAATATGTTTCTTGAAACTTGTGATGGGCATTTTAACACTGAGGAAGGGAAGCCCATATTGACATATTGTTTTCACCATGTTTGTGCATACCAACATGCTCAAGACAACTTTGACCTCTAAAATAAGAAGGACATTATTGTTTGGAACACATACATAAGGCAGAGAACTACACACATTGCAAGCATTGTGTTGAGAACGTCACCAAGGAAGCACATTACAAACAGTTCTTCCGGAGGACTTACTATCCGTGTTGCTCGTTTGCAAGAAGCAGACAGAACTTGTAGTGCACTACAATGTCAAGCTCGCAAAACGCTGGCCCCCGGTTTCGGTAGTAGTGTGGCTATCAATCTGTCAATTTGTTTAATGTTGTTTCATGATATCTCATAAATAGATTTCAAACATATGTTGGCCCCTCCTCGCTGCATCTCACATCCAGATTCCACCTGACTTCCGGGCACTGAGTCCATGAACTCCAGTCGACTGCGGCGGCTCTCTGAAGAGGAGGAAAAGGAAGAAGAACTGCGAGAGGCGCAGAAAATGGTGTCTGCAAGGTGGTGCCCCCCAGTTATAAGTTGGTTTATAATCCCATTAACTATAGATATATCACCTATAAACCATAGTTATTGGAGTTATAAACCAACTTAGCTATCTAGGGGGCACCACCTTGTGAAAATAAATTCCAACCGCATGCAACAGCAACCCCCAGAAAGATAGAAAATAATTTCTGAAAAGTAGACTCACAGGAACATTATAGTGATAATTTTTGATCATGGCGAGTTTTTTCTTGGGTCGGTTACTGTGTCCCTATGTATTCCGAAATCCGATGGTCTATGATCAGAATTTCCGATTAGAGTGACATAAATTAACTTGCTCTTTGGGGGCAACATCCCCATTTTGAGACACCCTCTTAAGTCGATTTCGGAATTTGCCTCTTCAGAGTTTGCCTGAAGAATTTTTCAACAACCTGGGTTGTCACCACAAAAAGGGTGTCAGTTTTGACGATCGGTTGACTGCCAGGTTGAAGTTCTCCAGGTGTATATAACTGATGCCCAATGGCTGAGGTTAAATTGTTGGGCCTACCAATGGTATCCAATGGTGATTGTGCAACCCAACTTTGCAGAAGATGGCCACCTGTACTGTTTTTCGATGTATGTCAATGAACAGGTGGTGTCGGGTTTCCTTGATAAGTCGTGATGTCATGTAAATATCTGAGATGATCTGAGATTATTTGAGATGGTGGTGTCAGGAACAGATTCTCTGAGTTTGTTTCGGGTTGATCGGGTTGACTGGGTTGCCGCTCGAGATCTGGCACCTCACAAAGAAGCGACAAGTGACTCGAAGAATGTGTTTCTTGGCAGGTGAGTTCCCAGTTCATCCTGATGGTAGACCCCAGCCCTAAAAATGTATAATCTAGTGGGCCGGAGGTGTTGCATGATTTTGATACATATCATATAACATATAGGATATATTAGATATTTTATTTTATAATATATATATATATATAGTATAAATGTATATAATATAATATATATATATATTATACATCACAGAACTCCGCCCGCCCAACATGCAGCGTATGCTTCAAGACAGCATCCCGGCGGCCTGAAAACGGCCTGGGAACCCAGCTGCAGTGATCTAGCAGGTGCTGGTGGAATTGCGTTGATAATGAGTTCTGTAACCAAGGCAGAATCCAAGGCATGTCAGATAAGTTCTGTAACCAATTTCTGGGAACCCAGTTCAAGGCATTCACGTCACGGTTGCAAAAAAGGCACATGTCATGTTCAACTTCATTCTTTGAATTTAGCGCTTGATGCAGGGCAGAGATGTCTTGCGGAGACATGCGGAGACAGTGTCATCACTAGTCCATTCACGAGCACCCACACTGACAGATCTTCAAATGGATGAATCCGCTGCAAGGGCTCCAAGTCCAGGGGGAGACGAGACTAGAGACACGAAACTAGGTGTGACGTATTCTTTACACACACACACACCAAAACATTATCTTTTAGCAAGGGACTTAGCTAGGGATTTATAAGCCCCCAAGTCATGTTTCCAAAAATAAGTTGATTTACAGCAACTTGTGTTTGAGCTTGCAGTCAGACGCGCTGTCACCACATTGCCACTCACGTTGCCATGTCGCAGAGAGCTTCAGATGGGGAGTCTATACGCCAGGGACCAGGCAAGAGGAGCTGCAAGAGGTCACTAGACCAAACAAGTGGATCTTCAAGTTCAAATCAGAATTCCGGTGCGTTGTCCGATTGGCTACCTGGTGCTACTGTCCAAACTTTGGCTGAGACCTATGTGAGCTACATCATTGCTGTTCTTTCCTGCCTTTCCCAGCGTGGAAGCAGTCAAGGGATTGATGAGCCAGCGGCCTCATGTTGGGCACAAGAGTCGCCAAAGCTGTCTATTACTCGAAGTGCGGATTGGCGCGCGAAACCTTGGGTAGCCGCACGGCATGGCACCACTGCTACCTTCTTGGAAGTCGTGCAGTTGCTTCAGCTCCATCTTCCAGTTCCATCTCAAGAGCCGTTGTTGTGGTCCTTCTCAAGTCGTCCTTGGTTTGCAGTTGCGCTTCTTGGCTTGAATGATCATATGCAGGGTGGGGTGTGTTACGACTCTGTCCCTACTTCCGCGCAATTTCCGCGCATCTTTTTTTTAGACACTAGCAGAGACATCAAAACCAACATACACAGACTCATACACACAGACATTTTAAAGACACCTGTGCTCGCAAAGGTTCTCTGACTGTTCATATGTATTTCATATGTGAGATTTTTTCCGTGGCCCGGAATACGCAAGGAGTCTGGGGCTCTATTTACTCACCGTAAACCCAAAAACGACTTCGCAACTGACTTTGCATTGAAGCAGTGTGTAGCTCATTTTTTTATTTGAAGCTCAGCTTTACAGAAATTACGGGTTTATGCGGCCATGGGGGCAGAGATGTCTCGCCTGAGGGCGCGCTGGGTCTACTGCTGGGTTTATACACAATCCAGGGGAAACTTCTGGGGACCTTAATGAAATTTTGGATGACCAAGTAGTTGCGTTAGAAGGAAATATGTCCAGAAGATTGTCAAGAATAAAGTTGACCTCATGTGTTGCCAGGTTCCAGACGTGTTCAAGAATGATTTGTTCTGTTCAGGAGTGATTTGTCTTGTTCAGCCATGATCCATCCATGATCTGTCTGTGAGCGGATCTTGGCCCAGGTATTTTCTCTTCGGTCGTTTGCGGAGCAGTGACTTTGTGAATTGGCTGCAGCAATGGGACACTTGGAGAAGCGCGCGAAGCAATGCGGTTCTTCTAGACACAAAGCTCGCCTTTGAGGATGCTTTTGTGAGAACATATTATGTGTGCTTTGGTCGGAATAGCGTGACGACCACGGAACTTTCTGGGGCTGAGGGCTGAGCGTGAAGATTTTTGCTATCGCAACAGGTTATTGCTTGCAGCTATGGATTCCCTCGCCTTCAGGCAATGGGCTGAAGAGCTTAAGCGGGCTGTTGCCGGCGACCTCAAAAGCTCTCGATTTCAAATATTCGCGATGAAAATCCCGGAGGTCGGTGATTTTGTAGCTATAATTTCTGGAAACGCGCCCTGGCGCAGACATCGGGGACTTTGATCAGCTACAGGGCCAAATTCTCTGCAGCGCCAACACGAATCAAATCCTCCAACATCATAGCATCGAGGCCGTGAGCGAGCTATGCATGAAGTTGATGCCCAAAGAGTTTGTTGTGCGGAAGAGAGGTGAATCGAGGTGGCATCCCGTGGCCTTGCCGTCGCACAAGTTTTGCGCCCCGCGGAGGGTCCAGTTGAATTTGTGCAAGCTTGCGCAAGTCTGCAAGAGTTTGTACACCGGTCACTTGGTGAAGCCAAGGCGGACGCAATTGCCTCTGCCAAATTTCGATTTTTCTGTCTTGGAGTGACAGTCGATTTGGTCCCTTGCGAGTGCACACTATCTTTTTTAGCTAGCGTTGCTGGACGTCCGTGCGCTATACCTTTTCATTGGTGTTGCCACCACCTTACAGTGGGTTTACCAACTGACATTTAGTCCCGGGTGTTATTATTTACAGTGCTGCCATGAGTGCGTGCGAAACGGTACACTGGGGAGCCTGTTGCGGGGAAAAAAGAAAGGGCAGCAGCGGAGTAAGAATCATTGGGGGTGCTGCAGAAGTCTGCGTAAACTGAGTGGATGTCTAAGTTCATCTAGGATTTGCTGAGTGATTCTTGATTCTACTACTGGGAAAATTCAACTACGGCAAGTGTTGGGGACGCGTTGGGGCAGAAATGTTTCAACCGGTCCAGGGTTCGTGCCATTTCTACTGCCATTTCTTTTCCCTGCTGAGGCAGTTCAGCTCGTTCCCGGTCTCTATTTCAGTGCCAGGCGCAGGGTGGGCTGCAGAGGGATTGAAAAGGCGCATCAATCAAACAATATCGAAGCAAGATCGCGTGCTGAAAGAAACATATGCCATATGTATGTTTTTACCTGGTAAATGGGCTCAAACGACGCTCAAACGACGCTCAAACGACGCTCAAACGACGCTCAAACGACGCTCAAACGACCCTGGCTACATCCTTATTAAACGTGATGCTCAATCGTTGCAACAAATTAACATAATGATTTTACCTTTGATTCGGTATGCCAAAATGATTCGGTACGCCACGCCAAAAAAAGTGCTATATGTCATGGAAGTAACAGCCAAGAAAAGCAAAGCAAACATGTTACCCCAACTTTTATAATATTGGTTCTTAAAAAAATATACTATATACTAGTGCGACAACACTCCTACCGCTGAGCCCCCCATGACTATGGAAATCCACACTTTCATTGATTCTTGGTTTAATAATAGCGTTTTTTGAGATTTGTAATGCGGGGCCTTGGTGGTGCTCCTTCTGGCGTCCTGCTTCCTTCCTCTCCTTCCTCTGTGAACTGTGGAGAGGCCCTGCCTGCAGCACGAGTGTTGCTTTCTTCAAAATTGATTGCGCCGCAACTCGCCAGCCTGCGGAGCATGACATGTCTGGAAGCACATCGCTCAGACCAGTGGCAGCACCATCGCCACTCTCCCCACGTGATTTGCATTCAAAGCTTTTGAGCCAAGCGCGGTACTTCTTGTCAGAAAGCACGCCACTTGACATGCCGCCGCCATGGAGCCACCCTGCAAACGCATCAGGATGCACGCCGCCCTGAGTCATGTTTCTGGAGTGTTTCTGAATGTGTTTCTGAGCCAGCTCAAAATGCGGTCGAAAACACTTAAAGCATATCAGGGCGATGGATGAAAGGCAAGAGCAGTTTTGCGATGGAGGGAGAAAGAAAGACAAAGATGCAGTTTTACGATGCAACCGGCAGATATCTTAGCATTTATCTTAGCGAGTATTCGTGAGCCCGCGTTGCGATTCACCAAGACCTGACCTACAAAATAGAGTGCGCTCTGGGACACTTCTGCTTCATGCTGCAAACGAATTTAAAGCTGAATTTTTCAGGCGACACGGGTCGCCTTTGAAGATCCTCCCAGGAAAGCGGAGAGCAGCAAAGAAGGCATGCACACCGCCGAACGCCTGGTGTGCAGTGAAGGTCACGTGTCAAATGAAGCTTTGTAAGTTGGGCATTTCTCCCCCTAATAAACTCTCCAACCAAGTTAAGTTTAGATCCCCGAATGGGAAAACCTCCGAGAAACGGAACTAAAGGGAATATCTATAACAAAAACATATAAGCATATGCAATACGCCAAACGTCGCAAACGAAAACACTGCATCATTTCAGCATGCATGCTGAAGACCTTTGAAAGCTGCCAAAAGTGCTTCCATTCGAAAATCCCTGGCTCATGCCGGCCGCATTGTAAAAAGAAGACCATCCAAACTGTCCAATCCATTCAGCTCCACCCCCAGACTGGCGTGCACAATTTGTAACCAGAACATGACTTTCAAATCAATGTGCCATATTTTCCAACTGCTGCTGTATGGCATGCATCGCAGCGCGGCATTGGGGACAAAAAGTCTGGAGATAGTCAAGCGATTGAGCTAAATGTACGTAGAATGGATAATTAGAGCTATCACTCAAGTAATAGAATAGTTTTAAGTCAATTACCAAAACTTCAAATTGACTTTCGCAACCTAATTTAAGAATTCTATGGCTTCATGGTAACTTCACGGTCCGTATTGTTTGACCCACCCTAAACTAGCATGCTCTGTAGAAAGACAGAAGGGCTCACAAGAGTGACTCTAGGTGAAAGAGAAAAAGAGAGAGAGGGAGAGGCAGAGGTGCACAAGAAGAACAAAACAGGCCGCAGCGCAATTGATCCTCAGGAAAGAGATTAGGAAAGAGAAGGAAGTAGAGAAGGACCCAGGGCGGAGTTGAAACAGGCCGAAAATGGCGGGGAGGTTTGGAGCGCTTAAGTCCCAGGGACTTAAGCACGCCGAACGGGCCGGAGGCACGTATGGAACGGTTTCTGAGGGGTAGAAGCGCCCCGGTAAAGCCAGGAGCGCCCGCGGAGTGGTTTGGAGCGCTTAAATCCCTGGGACTTAAGCACGCCGAACGGTAGCCAGACCGGGAATCCGGATGGGCTGGATACCTACCGTTCGGCGTGCTTAAGTCCCAAGGATTTAAGCGCTCCAAACCTCTCCGCGGGCGCTCCTGGCTTTACTGGGGCGCTTCTACCCCTCAGAAACCGTTCCATACGTGCCTCCGGCCCGTTCGGCGTGCTTAAGTCCCTGGGACTTAAGCGCTCCAAACCTCCCTGCCATGTTCGGCCTGTTTCAACTCCGCCCTGGGCCCGTCGACCTCTGTTTATTTCTCTTTTCAACCCCCTAAAAGTATTGAAGTCTTAAGACTTAAGACCTTTAAAAAAATAGGTCCTTAGGAAAAGCGGACCTGAACGGTACATTCGCCGAGGGTTTATAGCATGCCGAATTTCTGCCCTTTGGAATTTGTTAGCATGCAAACTTGAGGCCGGGGGTGGATGACGAAAACTAGCGGGGTAGGAGAAAGAAGGAAGGGAAGACGTATCTTCAGTGTCAGCAGGGAAACGTCGTTGGCGTTTCCGCTTCAAACCCTTAAGTATAAGCATATCTCCAAGACAAGGCGTTCCATGTCTAGGTATCAGCTGTTGGCCAGAACAGGACGAAGAAGTCAAGTCAGATGCTGCGCTCAGCGGGAAAGCAGCCAGAAATAGTTTCCAGGCAGTAGCTGAGGTTTGCCTGGAAGCTCTTGCCACGCTGCAACAGAAAAGAAGAAGGTAGACGCATCGGGCAGGGATAAGAAGGCAAGTATATATACACAGTTTCCAAGGTCATGTTTTGGGAGAAGTGCCTGCACGGAACTGGAGACACAGCATACCGATAGCAGACTATTTCCAAGACAAGGCTTTCCATGTCCTGGTGATGATGATGATGATGGTGGTGATGATGATGATGATGATGATGATGATGATGCTGGTGGCGATGATGATGATGATCACGATGACGAGAACGATGCCAATGACGATGACAAAACTGATGACGATGACGATGATGACGATGATGCTGATGATGGTGATGGTGTTGGGGTTCGGGGGTGGGGGAGGGGGGGGGGCCCTTTCGCGTGAAAAATCATGTGATGTCCTTGAGCAGCCCCCGGAATACTTGCTAAAGCGAAGACTCCAGCTAGCTGACGCTAGCTTTCGTGAATTTCTACGCACCGAAGTTTTTTACCATTGCCGAATTTCTACGCGCCAAGGTTTTAATTGAGGTTTTATAGCATTGCTGAATTCTGATTGCCAAGGTGTTAGATCAAGATTGATATCCATGAGTCATCCCTATAAAAAGCAGGCTTCCAACCTGCAGAGATACGCTAGTGATTTATGGTGGCTGATTGCGATAAGGGCATGACAATTTATGTTCAAATCAGAGATGTTATTCGATTTTATTTGCTAAGGTATTTTTGTCCGATGACTGTGTGGGATTCTGCAGTAATGGGAATTTCATTGGGGTTTGAATACGGATATCGAGTGATATGACTACATGGGATTATCATGTACATCATCGGGTTATACATGGGATATATAACCAACAATTCATTCCCATTCAATCCCAGTCAAATGTCAATCACCAGCATGAAATTTCCATTCACATCCCACTGAACCACCATAAGCTCCCAGGAATCCCCATGGAATCCATGGCCCTGCCGCAGGAAGATCTTCGCCAAGCCACAGACGACTGAAGCTGTTTGGAGTCATGGACACCTCCGCTAGGTATGGCCTCCAGCTGGCCAGGCTTCCCCAAGCAGTGCCCCCCAAGGATGCCGGGAAAAAACATCAAAAAAGAAAGGAATCTTCACGGGGAGTCCTTTCTTACATCATCTGGGGATTCATTTCTGACATCTTACACAGCTATGGAAATGCGATCCTTTATGGATCTATTTTCTGATATACCTCTTCATATACCTATTCATATAGCAGCTCGCCAAACGATGCAAAACCCATAGTCGTTTCTTTGAATGAATCTGACGGTCGATGCTGAAATGTTGTAGCAGGTTTTGGGGCACCTCAGCTTAGATCTCTGGATGCGTGCTGCAAGGAAGGACATTTAGATAAAACAGCCATTATGGTGATCCTTATTTTATTGAAGTTTGAATCTCCAAGCATATCGTCCTGATACTTGTTAGATTACATTGTATATATCATCCATTCACATCCATTGACTATCATTAACATCCATAAACATTGACTAATTATAGATATATGATATAACATCATGCTACGGCACCTGCTTTCAAGAAGTGGAAATCACCACCCAATGTCTGTCGAGGAGCATCGGAAAACTCTTCCGTGACCATGTTCGACATCAAACCTCCCAGGTGAAGGATCGATAAACTGATGGTCGTTGAGACGTCGAGAAGTGATGTCATAAAATATTGTCGTGTTGAAAGATTACTTTGGTTAAACCATAAAGATTCTGGAAAGGCCCAAAGTCCGCCCGCGCAGTTTCGGTATGGTGCTCGTGTCAGTTCAGTGGACGAGTCCTCCGAAATCTTCGCGGAGTTTCGAGATGATGATGTTGGACCAATTGCACACCTGGGGCAGTTGGCGTCGGATCAAACGACTCAGCAGCCAATGAAAAGGATCATAAACGCTGAACCTGGCACACAGGTAAAGAAATTGAGCTTTTCTATCTTGTGAGAGAATCTGACATGATATTTCACATTGCACCGACTCTGAAGCAATCTTGGTGTGTGGAGTGTTGAATTTCTCCCTTTGTTGGCTTGCAAGAGGATAGAGCAAGCCCCAGCGTGTCTCCAAATGAACGTTTCCACAGCTTGTTTGTATCCAGGCTGACTTCCAGGCTGATGCTCCCACCTGTTGCACTGGCAGCGAGCAGCGCCGGCAGCAGTGGACCGGAAACTGATCTGAACCATCCCCTGCCAGGATTGGGCCAAACTATTAGTTTCCAGGAATTGTTTTCTGCAACATAGGTGGCGCTCCCTTGTGGTAGGGATTCCACCACATTCGTTAACCATCACTAAAAAGCAAATTATAAAACATGAAGTAAAACATGACTTCCAACAATCATTCATTACTACAGGAATCTTTCTGAATAAATATTTATCACACTTTTATTCATGGCTGATGATGATTATCTAAACCTGGTGAACTAATCAGTATTACTAATTACCATTGTAATTCCATTGCAAACTGTTCCATATTGGTTGTCATCGCTAATTCCCAAAAGCATAATCAAAAACATTGCAAACCCTACCAGCGCCGCCGTCAACTGCCACCAGCAGCAGGGCCACCCACACCACTCTTGATGTCCGAACCGCCACTGAGGGTTGTTTCAATGCTGGTCAATAATTCCATATCTCCAGAAGCAGCTGACAAGCATGAGACATTTCTGCCCCATGCTAGGGTTTGGCTGCAGGACTGGCTTGTACCGCAAGTACTGCTAAAAGTGTAGAAGGGGCCAGAACCTTTCTACGATTTCTTGGGGACGCTGACCAGAACGCACCTGCGCTGTTGCCAGTTGCCTAGAAAAAAACCGTTTGACGCAGTGTGAATAGCTGGATTTTCCCGCTCATTTTCCAGGGCAGAAATGTCTTGGTTTACAGCCCTAGCATAGTGACCGTTGTTGGCTGATGTTTAGAAACAAGAAACAAGCCTTGAGAAATTGTGTTTAACTTGTGTATAATTTGGGCCTGTAGTTTTCTTAAATTTGTTCAAAGCTGAATCATCAATCTTCGGGGCTGATCATTTTGATCTATACATAGATGGCTTTGAGATATGTGTTTTGAATATCCACTCACTTTTAAAGTCTTTCTGCCTGCGATTAATGCACTGCATCCTGTTTCCTACAGGAAGACATCCATATCATTTCATCCTGCAACATCCTTTCGTGCTCAATTTATCCATGAAAAACTCATGTCCCTGAAACATTCCACATCCGAGCCCCCTGCGAATCCTGGGCAGGTCTCCACTCATGGCTTGGCAACCTTTGCAGCAGCCATGTTTACAGCCGACGCCTGGATTCCCAGCATGATTTTTTCCCCGTACGGGCTTTTTTGGGAAGATTTCTGGAACTGCTCCGAGTCAGTTCCCTTTTATGGTACTGCAAATTTCAGGCATGATTTCAACAGGGAAAACTGATTGGAAAACTGTGGCTTCACAAACACTCATGTGATCTTGACCCGGCTGTGATTGAGGCCATGGGTGTTTCGACGGTAGCGGCAAAACCTGTATGAAGCTGAGCGAGAAAGGACGTTAAGAACACATTCATATACTTTCATGTATACAGATTCAAACATGCACTTGTCAAAGTCATGAGTTGTGAGTCTCAGACTGGTGTTTGGCTCATGAGTTTTGGCACAGCCCAGCCGCCCAGTCTCAGCTTTTTTGGCACCCAAGGCTCGAGCTGAAAGTCCGAAGCAGACCAGGTGGGGCCACATCACGCACCACAATTTCAAGATGCGCGCTTTTCTTGTCTAAACGCCGCGCTTTTTTTGCTTGCTTGCGCCAGCCTCTGTATTGGCATAGAAAAAAGATCCAAATTCATCGTGCTCCAAATGGTGCTTCAATTCGCGTTCTTTTGCTAAATCGTGTCTTTTTTTTGCTATTTCATAAGGAAAAAGCACAATTTATACCATCATTTTTGGCGCCGGAAAAACCTGATTTTTGGAATTTCCTCATGCAGCGCCCATCACGTGTTTTGTTGATTTCTTCGTGCGCAATGCGTGCTCTTTTTTTTCTTTCTTTGTGCGCCATATCGTGCTTTTTTCTGTGTTTCTTCGTTTGCCGTATCGTGTTTTTTTTCTGCGATTCTTCCTGCACCAAATCGTTTTTTTTTTTGCGTTTCTTCGTGCGCCATATCGTGTTTTTTTCTGCAGTTCTTCGTGCGCCAAATCGTGCCCTAAATGGTGCTACTGTTACAGGCCATGGGCAAGACACAAGATATGCTAGTGATATGTAGCAAAATTTGATACCCAATGGTCATCACGAACCAGCACACCAATTGTGAACCAGCGAATGCTGGCCAAAACCCCGGTGATGGAGCAGGTACGTGCTGCTGGCCTGTGGCAAACGTGCTGCTGTGGCAGTCCAAAAGCTGCGCTGGTCTGGGATGCCATTGGGATATCCACATTTCAGGACTGTGAAAGTGGTATGTTTCATGAGCGAAGCGACAAGGAATCCAGTGGTGACCGTTGCGAAAATCGCTAGCACCCGGCTAATGCTGCTACCCCCAAAGCCCAGTAGTTTATCTTAATTGTTTGTCATATCTAGATAAAGCAGTATTTTATGGAACATGATATGGAATATCATGTTAAATACAATATGCATATATATATATATGAACCAATGTATATATACATTTACATGATATTTTACATATGTGTATATATATATATATATAGATGTGGCACGTTGGAAATGTATAACGATGTGGGGGACTCCCTTTGTCACTTTGGGAAGGGGTGTCCTGATGGTTGATGATAAGGGATTGTATACATCTGTAGTTTATAATATATATATATATATACATCATTTGATGATAGGACGTCAATGGTCATCAACATTCATCAACTCCCCTTGTCATTTATTTATATATATATATGTAACTGTGTAACTGCATGTAATGATTTATCAACATTTATCAACATTTATCATCCCCTTGTAATGTAATGGCCGCCTAGGTGGCGTGGAGGTGGCTGGCTTGATCGCCTCCTTCGCCTGGGTGTCGGCATATCTGGCGGCTGCAGCCACCGAGTGCACCAACACCTTGTATCTGGGCAAGATCTGGATGTGAAATGCCATGGATTTGGGGGAAAATCTATGGATTTTGGGAAAAATTGATTGATCTTGGGCCAAAAATCGATGGATCTTGGGGGAAAACCGATGGATCTTGGGGGAAAATCGATGGAAAAAGGAATGGGAAAATGAATGGGGAATGAGGTTCTGAAGAGGATGTCGGGGCTTGGGATGTTTTTTAGACCCCGTTTTTTGTGCCATGTTCAAGCTTGGCGAATTTATTGGCTAAAATTCGAACTTGGAGTGGCTGATGAACATAGCTCCTAGGGATTGCAAATTCTGCAGATTCACAAAACCATGGGCCGGCACGGATTTCATCATTTTCAGCCAGGTATCTGGACCGCTACTGCGCCTCAGACATTTCGAGGCGGTTGTGATGTTCCACAAACAGAGCTGGGGAATTCTCTGGATCTTTTGCATGATTTCTAGGGAAAAAGGGGCATGTTCGCCCGCATTTTCAAGTCTTGGTCTCTAGCCATGTCAGTTTCGACACTGTCCTGTTTGCATTAAAAAAAAAGGATCCTGATTCTACCATGTTCTAACACCGATTTCTCAATTGTTCGATCTTTTCATATCTTTTCTACAGATTCTACAGTATCATTTTGGTTGACATTAAGTTGACTCATCACGTTTGCCGTTGATTCACTGGACAGGGTAGTAGCAGCAACTGCCGATATTGCGCAAGCTTCCAATGGTATGTACACGGCCTGCACATCGGCCTCTCGGTCAGGTTTTCGCAGCTCTTAAGCCGGGAAGGGCTGGGAAGGGCTCAAAATGAGCGTCCTCAGCAATGAAGAAACATGTGGATCCAATGTATACTTGTAGAATCTTGTAGATCTTAGAAATATGGCCAATTTGTGGGTTGGTTTGCTACATTCTGGTACCCATTGTTGATCCATACTCATTCATTGCCTAATCTTTCCTATTAGCTTCGTTTAAAGTTGCATCAAACCCCCATACTTGAAGGAAAAACATACAGCTTCCCATTACCCTCTGGTAAACACTTCTAACAGTTCGCTATGGAAAATCGCAATCTTTAAATTCGGTAAATCAACTATTTCTATGTGCCATTTTCAATAGCAAACTGTAAGTCATGACCAGAGGGTAGGTTCCGTTAACGTATCTGAGTCCCAGGATCGTGTCTTCCGGAAGAGCAAGCGCAGACTCGCCAAGCTCCCTGCAGATCCACGTGATGTGAGAATGGCATCGGACACAGAGGAGCGCTTATGGCTTAAACTTCAGGCAATGTCCCAAAATGGGTAGACTCTGGTAAACTAACATAGCTATGGAAAATCACAATTTCTACAGTAATGGGTAAATTAACTATTTCTATGCTCATTTTGAATAGCTATGCTAAATTACCAGAGGGTATATCTGAAAATAGGGTACCCCAAAAATTGATGCTTTATCATTATTGTTCCCTTTAAATGGCCATTAGATGGGTACTGTAATGGGAGAGAGAGAGAGAGAGATATATATATAATATAATGCGATATACAATTCACAGTATGATTCGGGTTTGTCTGAAAATGGAGGACTTTTGGATTTCGGGGTTTTCCCCTGAAATTTCAGACAGATCTGGATAATGAATAGGGACGAGACGAGACCTATGAGTATTTAGAAATATATTAATAGGTCATACAATAATTGACAATAATTACTATATAATATTGATATTATATATATACATATACACAGCCACCAATATGTTGAACCACAGAAGAATAAACTCAAGCAAATGTACCAATTGTGCCAAGTAGATGTATCACCAAATGAAGGGTTAGTGTCACCAACTTCAGACATGTAGAAACACCACCAAATGCCTTGGTTGTGAAGCCTTTAGGCTCCTTCCTCGTATGTGTGTTGCATATACAACTAACTACTGGTACAGTTTTACATCAAAGGTGTAACTCAAGGAATCTACAGTTTGTACATGCACTGATACATAAAAGATTCAACCTGCACTACTGAATGCAAGTGTGATGTCTCGATATTCAGGCTTTTTGGTGGGAATTTGAGCTCTGCCCGTGGATATCCCAGATGATTCACTTTTTGAGAATAGGGTTTCTCTCACCAGCTTGGCAGAGACAAGCCGTCCTGTGGATCAGGGGATCACCTTTCCATGATCCGGACTTTTGGCTCAAGTGCCCTGTGTGAAAAAGTTTGCGCTCGCTGCCCGCCATTTTATCTTGAGGTGAGCGCTGAAACCACACGTTTTCGTGGTTATCAGCCGTAGGGCTTCAATCTACATTCTCATCAGATTCTGCGTATCTTGTTTTCGAACCATTAGCTGCCGTTAAATCGGCCTCTTGGCGTAAGCAAAGATCACTTCTATCGGGGACGTTCTCTGGCGAGCAGTCGACTGGCATCGGTCGGGTCGTAGGGGACAATCTCAGAAGGTAGCAGTTCTGGTGCGTTCTCCAACGAGTACCCGTACATTTTTGACCGAAGAGGTTTCTCGACCGCGGGAGCCAGCTCATCCACCCAGTCCTGCGGGTCCACCACCTGGTCGTTGCTTCAGCATGCTTCAGCATCGTCTGCAAGGGACGTGATTGCAAAGGCGAAGACTCCAAGCGGTTCAGTGCCAACATTTGTAAGCGCATCTCGACAGGTTGTATAGAAACTGAGCAGCGGGTGGGGATCACAGCAGCTCGAAAGGATCCACCGCCGGTGCCTAAACAAGTGATTGAAGCAGCATCCAGCTCGGGGCCATCAAGGATTGTCTTGGTTGCCCAGCCTCCGTTGCCACCACCTCCAAAAGGATCAGTGGCCAGGCGCTTGGCAGTGTTGGAGCAAAGGCCAAAAGGTTCAGCAGTATCTCAATCACCGGCACGTGAAAGCGAAACCAAAGACTGTTGAGCAGGCGTTGATTCCTCAGTACAATCTTCCGGAAAACGCTCGATACTTGACCTGGGACAATAGGGGAATCTTGAGGGACTTCTCGACCCGTAGTTTTGTGAGCGCAGTGGGAGTATACTCAGAATTATCGGCCAACAGAAAGTATTGCTTGTGTCTTGATCGGCATCAGGTAATCGGCAGGTCTCGGACTCAATCGGCTTGGGCAACCAAAGTTGTTCCGAGGGAGAATCTCGAGTTGCTGAAGAGGTTGTAAAGGATCAATTTGGCAATCATCTCGTGATCTCAGTGGTGAGCCACATCGAAAGCTCGAGTAAGAACGAAGATAGCTTGACTGACTGCTGCAATAGCACTCCAGGTTTGAGTCAAATCATGGTGATCACACGCCAGAGGATCGGAACCTTCGGAAAGCTGCAGGCGATTTGGGCGGTGACCCAGAGGAAGTGCCGTGCCATCATCATTGACGACAATTGTGAGGTAACTGACGAGAATTGTCGCTTTCTTCATACCATTCACATCAAGCTTCGTCGGAAACCATCTGCGACTGCACCGGGCAAAGTTCAGCAGTATCTTGAAGATTGTGAAGGGGACGTCGTTAGTGAAGTCGCGGCAAAGATCCCGGCGCTGAAGGAAAATGTCCGAATTCGATTCCAGGATCGGCAGGGACAGTTCGGAAAGTGAAGATAGATCTTCTAGGTCAGATAGAGTTGTTCATACCAGCGGTGAGAGTTGGGACACCATCCGGCCCTATCAGTTCCGAATCAATGTCCACCCCAGATGATAGAAATCCAAATCAGTTGCAAAATGTGCCAAATCCGCATCAAAGTCCTGATGGAACACTTTCGCAGTTTTTGCAATCAGCCGAACATTCACCAAATGTGCCAAGGAATCCATTTCAAACGCCACTGGGGCAAGGGATGGGTCCAGAAGGTCATCGGGTCCCTCATTTACACAAACGAATGTTCGGAACGAGTTGCATGTTTCCATGAATCCCTTCATCATCGCTCAAGCAAATCAGGCCATTGGTAATGCCGACAGTGCTTTGGAACAGTCTCGTCAGGAATTGAGACTTGCAATGAGGCAATTAGTTTTGCAAGTCGGGCCCAAGAAGAGGCTAGGGCAGAAACCTTTCATGTTGTGGGTCAAGTTCAGTCAGAAGCCAATAGGGTGATTGGGGAGTCTCAGATCCAAGTTGCACAATCTCAAAGCGAGTTGAATGCCACTAGGGTTGAAGCTACCGAAGCGTTGAACAGAGCATCCCAAGAACTTGATGCCGTAAAGGCACAATGCCGGATTGAAATGGAATCCCTCAGACCACATGCAGCTACCGAGTTCATGTCGTCGAGTCGTCGATGGAAGAAAAGTTGGGTGAATTATTCCACATCAATGCGCAACCCCAAGAAAGGTTGATTGAACAAACCAAGCAAATAAGTGAAAGTGAGATGTTGATGAAACAACTCCAAGAATAAGCAGGGGCTTATGAATCGCTGTTGCACCAAATCCAGAATCAAGAGGTTGAAAGATCTAAAACACAAGCTATGGGATCACAGTCCAAAGAAGCCGACAATGGCGCGGTGTTATTTGATTGATTTCAGTACTCCAGTAGGTCGTGGAAGCCAGCCAGGTCCAGGATCACCGGTTTCATGTTGATTGCGGATCCGTCCCAAGCCCAGGAATCAATGCTCGGTGCGAAGCTTTTTAGCTTCACCACGTACTGCGAATGCCAGTGCCGGTGCGAAGCCTTCCGGCTCCATCCAGTTGTTGGGAAAGTTTCTAGAGGGTCATAACTCCGGTGAGCAAGTTCCCAAAAGGAGTAAAGGGGAAAAGGGTTCAAAGTCAACACAACCGCATGAGACTATTCAAAAATCAAGTTGTGTCGGCCATTTGCAAGACATGCAAAGGGGATGAAACACCTTTGGTTGCATGGATGCAAAGATGCAGTTACGTCAAAGATCCAACCGAGTTTGCAAGTGTCGGAAACTATCCAGTGCTCGATCGAACTTTGGGTCACAAGTTGTTGGACAATGCTAGAGGTACCAGGTTCAGTTTGGATTTTCAAGCATCGCAAGAGAAGTGCCAGAAAGAGGGCAAACATCCTTCGGGTCGCCTTTGCTATGGTTCATCCTGAACAAGTACAGCCTCGACAAGGATCATGGTGCCAGCCTCAGCCAACACCATCTCCTAAGCCTGAAGCTCCAGGGGAAAGATGTTAAGTCATTGGAAGAGTTCAGACAGAAGTTGTATTACAGCATGGGATCATTGGAACAGTCAGAAAATTCTCAAGAGTCCGCCCTCCGGTCGATGCTTTACTAGCCCTAGCATCATCCTTTGCTAGCCCTAGCAATTGATAAGTACCGGGCATCCAAGGGAACATCCAACAAAAGGACGTCACAATGGTTGGTCGATCGCATGGAGGAAGCCATTGCATTGCATCAGCAAGACGAGAACACGTCATTTATCGCTTTGCAAACAACAGGCGGAAAGGTAAATGCAAACCCTGCCAATCCTGACAAAAAGGATGGTAAGCCTCAGAAAGAAAAAGACAAAAAGGACAAATCTCAAAAAGAGAAAGATAAGAAAGCTGAAAAGGTACCAAAGGACAAAGACAAGGATAAGAAGGCATCCGAAACCTCTGCAGCAGTGAATGCGGCGCCAGGAACCTCAAAGGGGAATGGTAAAGGAAGGAAAGGTTCGCAGACAGGTACAAAATCGGATCCTTCAAAGCCTGTGTCAAAAGATGACAAAGCAAAACAACCGTGTATGTACTTTGCTTTTGGTGCACCAAGGGGATAAGTGCCCTACCTCCATGGCAAAAATAACCTGTATAAAGGAGCTAAGCCTAAAGCACTCGCAAAGAGCACCCCAGCTGGTTCAGCCACTGTTCATGCAGGTGCTGCTACAATCCTGTCAGGTACTGTCGCTGCAAGTCTGGTTTCAGGGGTCAAGTCGCAAGGGCGAGTGGCCTTTCGGCTCCGTCTCATGCGGCCAGTGCCAGCAATAGCAGGATATCCGTTGAGGCCGTGCGCAGGAAGGTTTGGGAGAATGTTTCCAGCGTGTTGAGAGGGAGCAAGTCATGTAAGAAGCATTTAAAAGGTACATCAGAGACTGTAGTGAAGAAACCAGGAAATAATCACCATTACTATGCCTTTGAACGTGCATTCCAGTGTTTTGCAGCAATGGCATCAGTTTGCTGCCCCATGAATGTGACTCAAGATTTCTTGATTGGCTCTGTGGCAGGTGGGACCTTGATTTCGCAAAAAGACATTCCAGAACAGTGGATTCCTCACCATGGAGAAGCCCCGGAAAAGCTGAAGTTTTCTACTGGGGGTGGGGTTCGAAATAGTACCCAAGCTGTCAATTTGCAAGGGGAATTGTTCGGAGATGGAGTGTTTTACGCATTGAAGGATTGCCCACCTGCAATTTCATTAGGTCAACAAGTCAACGATCATGGGGGGAGCATGGGTATGGTTTCCGAACCAACTTCCGTACTTCATCAAGTCAGATCGGTTGGGAGATGTCGTCCATCATTGTTCTGAAAGTGCCAAGATCTATGCAGATCGTGTTGTCGAAAATGTCCCAATTTTAATGATTCAACCGAGTGTATCGCAATGCCCGCCGCGCAGATTTCAACAAGTTGGGTGACCATGTGAGTGCACAGCCCTCCAATTTGCCAGAGCCAGGTGGATCGAGTTCCTTGGGAGTGAAGCCTTCATCGGCTCCTCCGCCTATAGTTCGTCTGGGGTGAAGCCTTCAGCGGCTCCTCTTGGTGATAGGTCCCTAGTTGAGCATGAGCCAATGGTAAAGGTACTTGAAGGTGAAGCAGGTGCAGTCCCTGAAAGTCCCATAGGATCAATTGTGGAAGTATCTGAAGACGGGGGGTCATTAGTCGATGTTCATTCTTCTGAAGATGATGGTGAGGAGGCGGCTAAGTCGTTAAATCACTCGTTGACCCATTACCCCAAAAGTAGGCATTGTGAAATCTGTCAAAGAGGAAAAAGTACATCACGCTATCCTCGTCGTAGAGGTGACCCAGATGATGATGAAACACCTCCATTGCATTTTGCTCATCAAATGAGAGTTGACCATGAGTTGACCCTGTAATCATTGGGAGTGATGTGTCAAAGGGTTCTGAAGGTGAACAAGCTTGCCTGATATGCTTCGATGAATACAGTGGTCATTATCAAGCTTTTGCCCAGTCATCCAGGAGCACCCCAAACAACGTAGCATGTTTGAGAAAGTTCGGAGGAACCAGAGCTATCAGAGCTCATGGTCGGGCCCTATGTTCAGTGAAATCCGATTCCGTACCGAAGCCGTGAAGCAGTTAGGATGGGTACCGGAGCCAGGATTGCCAAATCATCCTTTTCATAATGTCATGCTCGAATCCAACATTCGTAGGATAAAGGAGGGGACTAGAGCAATCCACTTAGCTGCAGGATTTCCACATGAACTTTGGAAGCATAGAATATTTCTGTGCTGCCAAGAGTTTTACAACCTTAGCTCCCATCCATCCGAATAATTCAGATGAAGTCAAGAGGGCAAAGCAAGGTTTGACATGTTATGAAGCTGCGAATGGAGGAGAACCTTTTGAGGGCCACCGAGTGCCTTTGGGAGCCTTGGTGTGCTATAAGCCACCCCATCATACCAACAAGCCAGCTTTTGAACCAAGAACATTACCAGGGATATTTGTGGGATGGAGGATTGACTCGGGGTTCAGACAATGTAAAGCCAATTTAGCGCTTGATTACGAAAGTGTGAGGACCAATGCAAAAGGTTATGGGAAGCCCATCCAAGTGCACACTGATGAGTTAGTCGTTCCAGAAAACACATTTTTCCTTTGTTCCAAGCTGAGCAAGCCAAAGTTGAAGGGGGTTCAGGTGTGTTGCCAAAGATTTCAATGCCATTCGAACAGGGAGCTCCAACAACACCAAGCAGGACCAGAAAGACCTACGTCACTTTGGATAGAGCCACCCGATTCGGTAAGACCGTAGGGGTCAGACACTCCGAAGCGTGCCATAAAAGGTTCAGAAGTTTGATAAAGGGAAAGGGGCCTGTTGTAAAATCCATCTCAAACCCAGAAAGCAATTGTTTGCCCATGTGGGAAATGATAGTCCTTTTGGGCGCAGAAGAAATTTCGTCAAAAAGGGTCAGCGAATGGAAATGTCGGGGAAAATTTCTATGTATTCAGGTGAAGAAGCACGGTTTGTACATAGGCGAATGCCACGGTTGCTAGTTCGGACTGCAAAGTTCCAAAGGAAACCCCATGTAGAATCGCACATTGCAACCTCAAACTATTGCTTAGCACCAAACCTTAACCAATGCAGATGCCAACATTTACCAGGATTTCATCACGACCATGCAAAAGGAAGTGAAACACCAAAAACAGCCTACTACCCAGAAGCAATGGCTAGGACCATCAGCGAAATGTCTTTACCCCGAGCACGTTTTCTCAATGCCAGTGATTGCTACAGATGAGTCAAAAAAAATAAGAAATCTCATTCAAAAGTTTGGGGTATGGCCGCAAAATTTTTGAAGAAATCATCCCATGAACCAAACCTTCAAGATAAAAGTTCAGTTTATACTGGAATCCACCTTCTCTTTGGCAGGAAAGATTCGCACAACCACCCAGGTTGGAAGGAAGCCATCAACAAGGAAAGGGATGAACTTCTAAGCCGAAAAGAGCCAACACATGTGGGTATAGATTGACGACAAATTTGTCAGTTGAACAGAACATTGGGAGAATAATGGACTTCGTAGACTAAAAGCTCGAATAGTATTCCAAGGGAGATGATATCCGTGATGAAAACAATAAACTAGCAGTGCTGCAGGAAGCAAAAGTCAATCCATCCGGCTTGGCTGGAATCAATGCAAACTTGGCGTACGGTTGCTTGAAGGGGCACACAAGGATGCAAAGCGATTGCGCGTAGCACATGCGAGGCTGAGATGATTAGTTTGGAGTTTGGATTCTGGGGTTTTCGGTGAAGGACTGCCCATGCAAGAGCTGTGCGAGACTATCTTAAATAGACCGATTGATTTGGTCTGTCAACAAAACAATGCATCAGCTATCCAAATCGTGCATGGAGGTTATAGTCCGAAACTTCGACGCATGAAGAAAGTTCACAAGTTGAATCTGTCTTCTCTGTATATACGAAGCATTCGAAGACCCAAACGTGAAACTGCAGTGTGTTAAGACAGCCGTACAGCGTGCAGATCCGTTCACAAAAGCCTTGGAGCCGTGCAAGTGGCCCAATGCTCTCGAGTTGATGTCAATCAAACCGCCTTGAGTTTCTCCAGGAAAGCTCGAATCAACCAATCGAGTCGGATAATTGCGAGAAGGGGGAGAAGAATAAATTCAAGCAAATGTACCAATTGTGCCAAGTAGATGTATCACCAAATGAAGGGTTAGTGTCACCAACTTCAGACATGTAGAAACACCACCAAATGCCTTGGTTGTGAAGCCTTTAGGCTCCTTCCTCGTATGTGTGTTGCATATAAGTAACTACTGGTACAGTTTTACATCAAAGATGTAATTCAAGGAATCTACAGTTTGTACATGCACTGAGACATGTCGTTGAGCCGTCCAGTGGGTCAGAGGATCACTTTCCCATGATCCGGACTATTGGCTCAAGTGCCCTGTGTGAAAAAGTTTGCGCTCGCTGCCCGCCATTTTATCTTGCAGTGAGCGCTGAAACCACACGTTTTCGTACCAGACGCAATAAATTGCAATGTATGGTGCACATTTGGTGTGAGATTAAAATAAAACACACACACACATATAATCATATATATATTTATAAACCATTGTATTATACATATATATATATATATATATATATATACGTAATTACAAATTACAATATTAAATAAATAAATATATATATATATATTACATACATATATATATATATACATATACATGTACGTGATCTGTAGACCATTGAATGATTCCATTCATACAAGGTTCCAGGCTGTGCAGTTCTTTGTTTTTCCCATCCAAGGTCAGAGGAAGGCGAGGAGAAGATAAGCACTGTGAAGAAGAATTTGCTGCAAGCCGAGTGTGGTACCAACGCTGCACAGGTGGGCTCACCATGGGGTCGGGTTACCTGGTGTTTCGTGCAGCTCAGCTCTTCTGCCCCAGGGCGCTCTGTTCATCGGCCGCGCTGCTTTGGAGCTGACTGGCGTCAGCCACCACTGTGGAATTGAAGAACACTGGGATTTCTATGAGACACTCAGGTGCCATTTGGCATGATCTGGCATGTTCCTTGTCTCCCCCATGTGTTTTTTGGTAATAAAGGTGGGGCCGCCTCAGATCATTCTGTTCATTGGGGCCCTTTTGCCTCCAGTTTTCCGCTTTGACGCCACCCGAATTCGCTCCATTTGTTGCCTGTTTGCAGTCAGATTTGGAGCAGACGATTTTGAACCCATTCATTTCTTGTCAGTTTTGATACCTTGAAACGGCTAAACCCGCTGTACCAGATCGGACGCCTTTTTCATGATGATATGATTCGATATTATTTGGATATTCGGATTAGGCCCCGCAATGAAGCACAGAATTATACAGAATTAAGGACGAATTGACGAGTAAAATTGGTGCATAAAACGGTACCAAAATTGAAGAACAGCACCCACCACACTGAACGACAGTCGGAACAACAGCAATTTTGAGAGTGTGACGCCTGCAGACGGGCGTAGGAAGCTCTGACAGCTGGTCAATTTCAGACGGAGCACCCGAGGAAAACAACAGTTTCCCGTGGATGTGATTAAATTCAAACCAGGCATGTTCACAATGGTTTCCACAGAGAGATTCAGGGGAACGCATCAAAACATGGCTGCCAGTGGCTCTCACAGCTGGGTCAACCAGCCTGTTGAAATGGACATCTAAGTGGTAAACGATGAGCATGTTTGAGCCATATGAGACCACCCCAAAACGATCGAAGAGTTGCATTTTCGTTAATATATATATATATATATATTTTTTAGATGTATATATATATAATATATATATATTATACATGTATATGTATATATATATATATATTATGAATTATATATATATATATATTATAGATGTATATGTATATGTATATGTATATGCCTATGTATATGTATATGTATATGTATATTATGTTTATGTAAATATATATGGTGCTAAAGCATGTCCAATATGAATCATATTTCAGGGTTTTCCCTAATTAATATGTTTTTCCTATTGGTTTTCCGCCGCCATCGCGGCCATGGCCAGGTGTGCGGCCTCAGCCCAAGGAAGCCTGGCCGCCTTTGCAGTGGCCAGTGGCTGGGCATCGCTGCTAGGGATGATGGGGTGACCAAGGGACCATGACTTACTGGTGCTAAACGTAGGGAATGGATGGGTTGCTGGGGGTTGCTGGGATGATTCTTCCTAGTGATGAAATGGATCATTCCCTCATTCCCTGCTAAGCAACAGTAAGATGAACAGCATTTTTTCATGTTGGACCATTGGCACTGTAGAGTGGATTGAAATTGAAAGAAATGTGTTAAGACATGCTGAAATATTCTCATGAAGAATCATGAATAGCTATAATGAAGGGCTATGGGCATTATGCGTTTACATTGTGGGTATGTGAAATGTAGAGTCAATAACTCATCGTTACAGCCTGTGTTTGGTGGATGAACATCACGTTTACAGAAGCTAGTGTCATGTTCACAAGGGGGTGAGCCATACCATGCCATACATCACATTTACAGGAAACCCACATATGTTTGGCGAAAACAAAGGTTTCCTGTATATCAAAACACTTAAAAAACATCTATGTCTATCATATTGTCCATGATGGGTAGAATTGGATATAACATGACATAACGATGCAATTGCGAATGGGAAGATTGGCATACACTCCCCTGGCTATCACCTACTGGAATGACTTAAATTTGATCTTAGATATGCAACCCCCAACGGCTTGGACATGTTACAAGCATAGCTACATGCCCATGTTTCACCCTCATGTATCATCTTAGGTTCTTGCTATAAACTGGTGTAATGTTAGTAATGTTAATAAAGCAATAATAAACCACCCATATGGATTGATGGTTTATAGCCATTTCTGTTGATTTTGGGGATAGTTTACTATACTGTTTCAACCGCATTACCAGAGGAAATTTCTTTATTGGTTTAACCTATTGTTTTGATGCTTTAGCAGCCTACATGAGGCCATGTGTTTGCTGAAGCCGTTGCTCAATGCGAGGACAAGGGGTTGGTCAGTTGCAAATCATTCTGCCTGGGAATGGTAACATTTCCTGGGAAATTCGAGATGCAAATCTAATCAATGATTCATTCATGCAATGTGGGGCCCCCCAGTTATAAATTGGTTTATAAACCCCAGTAACTATAGTTCTATAAGTATCATAAACCATAGTTATTGGAGTTATAAACCAACTTAGCTATCTAGGGGGCCCCACTTTGTGGTACAGTAAATATTGTCAATGTTTGCCAAAAATGCTGTGATTTTGCTTTCAGCTTTTGGAGTATTTGGAATCTTGGACCAGTGCAAGCGGCCCGTGATTTTCTTCAGGAGAGTGTGGGCAACTTGAATCTTGATGCCTATTGCGCAGCCTCTGTGAGTCAAATTGTCCATGCGACCTTGGAACTCACCGCTGCGCTGACTCTTCTGGCAGATTTTTGCACCTTGATGAATAAATTTCCATTTGGACGACCACAAGACATCCGCGAAGACGGAAAGATGTATGCACACATTTTCCATCGGTAGGTCGGCTGCGATGCTGGCATATGCTCGTGATGCACCTGGATCTACGGAGTGCACGTCGTGCTTTTGCACATTTTTAGATAGGAAATGTATGGAAATGTCAAGATGCCAGCTCTGAAAGGAGTTTGGTGTGACCTCTGTGACCTCGAAATCAAAGGATTTCGTGTCTGAGCGGAAAATCGCCACGAATCATGCTTCGACAATCGACATCGGCTGGCAGCATATCCCATATGCTCCATGTATGGAATATATGGTAACATGGATCCCATCAATATACCCCCAATGTTAGCATATATACCATACATGGATCCTATGGGTATTGCACAGTGTCCCCATATTCCAAGGTGAAGAGCGCAGCTCCAGTAGACCCAGGCTCGTCAGGTCGTTTCGTTGAAAGGATGGTGTTCTTCATGGATGGGCCACCAGAATCCACCAGATATTTTCATGGAATTGCCACAAGACAAAAAAACATATGATGTTCTCATTAGGTTTTCTCATGTTTTCTCCAAGTTTGGTGGTACTTGGGAGCCATGAGACATGGCAGACATGGCAGACATGGCAGGAGGAGCACCAGCTCCAGGAGTGGATGGCCTGGATGGCGATAAGATCGACCGCCCATCGAGCCACGGAACGACTACGTCGATCCGGCGGACCAGCACTGGCCATGGGGCCATGGGGCCATGGGGCCATGGGATGACCAGGAGGATCAGGAGGACCGCGATGCTGCGGACTGAAGGAGTTGTAGATGTTGTAGGTTGTAGGTCTCGCACGCAAGTTGCGTGGGGAAAAATGGTGGGAAATTGGACGGAAACTTGATGTTTGAATCTTCCAATGTGTTCCATGCAATCTGGCTGCGACTTCGTTGGGCACTTGCCTTGACCTTTTGGCCAGACCAGTTTCGGAGGGCGCAAGCAGAGAAGCAAATCAGCGAGTGGCGTTGATGCCTGTGTAGGAAATCTGCATTTAGAGAGTCACCCATGCTGTTGGCTCATGTTGGCTGATGTTGGCTGGAACTTCTCCTTCCCTCAGCAAAACAGATATAGTCGTATAAGTCATATATAAGATATCTAGATCATAAAAGATAAGAGCAAGTTGAGAGCACCCCTGCCTTGCGTTGAATGCGTGGCCTTTGCCATGTCCTATGGCTGATTCCCACCTTGTCTCCCTCGGTTTCTCATTCGGAGTTTGCGGATCTGCATTGTTGGCTGTTCCCAGTGCAGCGGTGTCGTTCGGATCCAGAGTGGCTGGCGGGAACACCGCGGGTCCTGCTGGGTCAACCGGCTGCGGATCGATGCTGGGAGGAAGCGCGGGAAGCCTGGATCAACTGCAGAAATGCCGGGCTGGAAGCCGTGGACTTTGCATTGGCTCCCAATGTGAGCCTAGAAAAAGCCCTAGCAATGTGTGGGGTTGGAAGGGGCCGGAGATATGCTTGTTTGAGAAGAGTTTCAGCAGCCCCATTAATGTATCATTTGATATCAACTAAATGTGCAGAATTATTCATCATCCCATGCTGTGTTCACGGCCCAGGAAGCAAGCTGGTGATGCAGCAATTCCAGACTTCCGCTCGCTGGCATACACAGGCACTTTCCTCAGAGACGAGATGAATTGAATCTGGAAATGGCTCAAGTGAAATTCTTTAAGAACTCGAAAGTATGAAACGTCATGATACCCATATGCGAACCATGGTGCTGGAATATGAATCCCAACATTTGCCCCATTTTTATGACCCAGTTTTGTAGGTAAATACACCATACATGGAGCATATGGGATAGTTTAGCTGCTACCCGTACATATCTCAAAATGACAACTCCTGTGGATCCGTTGGTGCCTTATTTTCAGTCATGGCCGTTCGACTCGCGATGGTGAACCGAGGTTCCTATCCATCAATGGCTACCCAAGGATTGCTGCAGCAGCTCGAGGAGGATAGATCGATGCGGGCCTTCTTTGATTACCAGGTCTCTTTTTGGTGGGCAAACAAGGACTGTTTTTTAATTACTGTTTTTTTTATATGCAAAAAAGGTCAGTCTTTTTTTTGATTGATTACCAGGTCGCTTTTTTTTTTGCAAAACCGCTTTGCTGGTTCCTGAATGAAACCTCAACTAGACTCAGGGGCAAACACATCAGGAAACACAGGAAATGTTGGGCCCGTCTGCAGGAAATGACTCAATTCTCAGACATTGATCTCAGCAGGCCCGTGTGCAACAGCTTGTGGAGACCGGTGAAGGAAAAGGCGAATCTGATTGCCGCCACCAACGACAGCCACTTCTGTGGGTCCTGCACAGAACAGCTGAAAGAAACTCAGCCAATCCAGGAGCCTGTAGAGAATGATTATTGTGAATCATGTTCAATATAGATATGAGGTACCCTCTGGTAATTTAACATAGCTATGGAAAATCACAATTTTTAATGGGTAAATCCACTATAAATGGCAATTTTCAATAGCAAACTGTTAGTTTACCAGAGGGTATGGTATGGGTTAGAGATGGTTAGAGGAATCCGCAGATTTTCTGATCATTTCAAGTAAATCATCCCAATTTGCGGTACCGAATGATTGCGGTGTCGTCCAAAAACCGCCCCATCCATCCCATCCAAAAACACCAGATCCAAGCCCACTAACCATTAACTAAGCGAGCAGAAACATCCAATGAAGTCTGGGCCATTCAAGATCCTTCAAGGTCTCTCCATGTCTCTCCCATTTTGCAATAAAAAATGTCCAGTCAAGCCGTGAGTTTGGAGGAGAAAACATAAGAAAAGCCTCCTAAATCGGCCCAGGATATGTGGATGCGTGCGGGAAATGACTTGGACTTCGCTGAGTTCCCCTTCAGTGCAGCAAAGGCGGAAGCATGTATCATTCATGAGGGAGATGTATTCCCATTTACAGATTTTACAGGGCACAATTCCGACCCTCTCATGGAACCATGAGCAAGTCTGAAAGTTTGAGGGCCCTAAAAATGAAGATGTTCTCCCACATTCATATTTTGTGAGGTTCGAAGATCTATAATCGCGGTTTAAAATCATGTCTTTATGTATTTTTCAATCTCAACTCTCAACATGGAAAAGTTTGGGTCGTTGATTTCATTTACCCATGATCAACCCACGATATATCCATGTTAACCCGTGATTCTTGGAGAAAACCTGAGAAAACCCCGGGTTTCTCAAACAACCACCCGGTTTCAACCGTGATCACCCTGTGATTTACCCATCTGCGGCATGGGCGAAGATGGACAAATGGGGCAATGGAGGATTGCGGACAAATTCTTCGGCTTCGGATTCTTAGGGTACACATATCTGGTGCATCCTGTACTGGTATTTTTTGTGTTGGGGTTAGCTAAATCAAAACTTTGTGGAATTTTATTGAACACGATTCGAATTTTAATTAAGAACATTGCGTTTTTTTCCAGTGCCACCCGGCAAAACCAGTATAGTTGCTTTGCCCGTGGTTTAACCTGTGCATTGCACCAACTTTTTGCTTGGGTTCAAGCAAATTTCAAACACATTGCACTTATTCCCAAACAATTTTGTTTCGTCAACCCAAAGTTTTCTTCGTAGTTTTTGAGGTTTTCAGGTACATGTATGCGATATTATGTGATCATCTATACACATATCCTGTTGGTTTTCTTGCAAAGATCATAAAGGTAGATAGGCCAGAGCTGATATTTATTGAGATATCAACACTTAACAACATCAACAGTAACTTTTTGAAGCAGTATTGGTTTGTCTGAAAACGGGGAATGGCAATTTTGATGGGTAAATTGATGATTAAGCAGTGGATTTTGGGGTTCCTTTTTTCGGACTAACCCGTATGCTGTTTCTTTGCTTTTGCTTGGGCCATGGGGTTTGATGTGCTTTAGTTGGTTCATGGAGATCAGCTGCTTACAGGCTGATTGCTTCCTTGGAGTTTTGACCCTCACATTGACTGAGCTTTTCTGTGTCCATTCCTGCGCGGCATTCGCTGACTCGGACGACTCTGAAGTTCCTGATTGGGACATTCACACCATGCTTTGGAAGAAGGTGAGCATGCTGAAGTTGGATAATCTTACTGGTGCGTTTTACGCAGGGAATGATGGAATGATCCGTTTCATCACTAGTAATAATCATCCCAGCAACCCCCATTGCCATCCATTCCCTGCTAAGCACCAGTAAGTCGTGTATCATTTTGTTGCATCTACTGAGAATCGACTTGGAAGATCCATGACGCCATGACTGTCACCGCTTTGTTTTTGCTTCACCTGTGGATGTCACTACCCAGGTGCAGTTGGAATTGGAAGGTCTCTTCTTCTTTTTTGACTTCCCATTGGCTCTCCTGGCATCTTCGGGCTGGCCTGTGCTGCCCTTACTGCATCGTTTGGGCAGAGCATTTCGGCAAAACTTTGGTAATGTGATACCCAACGATTGCGACCTTCTTGACGGGAAGAGGCGCGATGAAACCATCAAGAAATGTGGGGTTTTCTAGGATGGCTTTATCACGATTTTATAGGATTATATAATACTATATATATATATATAAGTATCATTCGTTGTATCTGGATGGATATTGGAGCTATGTGGATGGAATGTGGTGGGTCCAAAACCTCTTAACATCTGTTTTATGGGCATGATGCTTTGACCTCGCCCTACCTAATCCCCTCGAAGGGATCACACCACTGGCCAGGTGTGGGGCGGAGACTGCCCTTGGGGCCAACGCACTGTCCTGTAGTAATAAAGCAGGCGGTGCATGAGAGCAGGGCATATGGGCTAAAGCGCCTGCTCTGGGCAAGCCTGGCAATGAAACCTGGAGCATTGCTGCTATGGGTACCCGCGGCAATGCTTCCAGGTTTCTCCCAGGGGCTCCATGTTAGGGAGGCCTAATGAAAGTTCCACCAATGTAGTAGTGTGTTTGGTTGGTGATCATTCTTTAGACATGGGTTCCCGGTGGAACTTACTAGCGTATAAGTGATGGCACAGTACTGTACACACATGACAGTACAAACATCACCTTTTTTTGCTTGGTGAAAAAATATTAA